CCCCACAGACTGTCAGCTCCTGGGGTCACAGCCCCTCCCCCACAGACTGTCAGCTCCTGGGGTCACAGCCCCTCCCCCACAGACTGTCAGCTCCTGGGGTCACAGCCCCTCCCCCACAGACTGTCAGCTCCTGGGGTCACAGCCCCTCCCCCACAGACTGTCAGCTCCTGGGGTCACAGCCCCTCCCCCACAGACTGTCAGCTCCTGGGGTCACAGCCCCTCCCCCACAGACTGTCAGCTCCTGGGGTCACAGCCCCTCCCCCACAGACTGTCAGCTCCTGGGGTCACAGCCCCTCCCCCACAGACTGTCAGCTCCTGGGGTCACAGCCCCTCCCCCACAGACTGTCAGCTCCTGGGGTCACAGCCCCTCCCCCACAGACTGTCAGCTCCTGGGGTCACAGCCCCTCCCCCACAGACTGTCAGCTCCTGGGGTCACAGCCCCTCCCCCACAGACTGTCAGCTCCTGGGGTCACAGCCCCTCCCCCACAGACTGTCAGCTCCTGGGGTCACAGCCCCTCCCCCACAGACTGTCAGCTCCTGGGGTCACAGCCCCTCCCCCACAGACTGTCAGCTCCTGGGGTCACAGCCCCTCCCCCACAGACTGTCAGCTCCTGGGGTCACAGCCCCTCCCCCACAGACTGTCAGCTCCTGGGGTCACAGCCCCTCCCCCACAGACTGTCAGCTCCTGGGGTCACAGCCCCTCCCCCACAGACTGTCAGCTCCTGGGGTCACAGCCCCTCCCCCACAGACTGTCAGCTCCTGGGGTCACAGCCCCTCCCCCACAGACTGTCAGCTCCTGGGGTCACAGCCCCTCCCCCACAGACTGTCAGCTCCTGGGGTCACAGCCCCTCCCCCACAGACTGTCAGCTCCTGGGGTCACAGCCCCTCCCCCACAGACTGTCAGCTCCTGGGGTCACAGCCCCTCCCCCACAGACTGTCAGCTCCTGGGGTCACAGCCCCTCCCCCACAGACTGTCAGCTCCTGGGGTCACAGCCCCTCCCCCACAGACTGTCAGCTCCTGGGGTCACAGCCCCTCCCCCACAGACTGTCAGCTCCTGGGGTCACAGCCCCTCCCCCACAGACTGTCAGCTCCTGGGGTCACAGCCCCTCCCCCACAGACTGTCAGCTCCTGGGGTCACAGCCCCTCCCCCACAGACTGTCAGCTCCTGGGGTCACAGCCCCTCCCCCACAGACTGTCAGCTCCTGGGGTCACAGCCCCTCCCCCACAGACTGTCAGCTCCTGGGGTCACAGCCCCTCCCCCACAGACTGTCAGCTCCTGGGGTCACAGCCCCTCCCCCACAGACTGTCAGCTCCTGGGGTCACAGCCCCTCCCCCACAGACTGTCAGCTCCTGGGGTCACAGCCCCTCCCCCACAGACTGTCAGCTCCTGGGGTCACAGCCCCTCCCCCACAGACTGTCAGCTCCTGGGGTCACAGCCCCTCCCCCACAGACTGTCAGCTCCTGGGGTCACAGCCCCTCCCCCACAGACTGTCAGCTCCTGGGGTCACAGCCCCTCCCCCACAGACTGTCAGCTCCTGGGGTCACAGCCCCTCCCCCACAGACTGTCAGCTCCTGGGGTCACAGCCCCTCCCCCACAGACTGTCAGCTCCTGGGGTCACAGCCCCTCCCCCACAGACTGTCAGCTCCTGGGGTCACAGCCCCTCCCCCACAGACTGTCAGCTCCTGGGGTCACAGCCCCTCCCCCACAGACTGTCAGCTCCTGGGGTCACAGCCCCTCCCCCACAGACTGTCAGCTCCTGGGGTCACAGCCCCTCCCCCACAGACTGTCAGCTCCTGGGGTCACAGCCCCTCCCCCACAGACTGTCAGCTCCTGGGGTCACAGCCCCTCCCCCACAGACTGTCAGCTCCTGGGGTCACAGCCCCTCCCCCACAGACTGTCAGCTCCTGGGGTCACAGCCCCTCCCCCACAGACTGTCAGCTCCTGGGGTCACAGCCCCTCCCCCACAGACTGTCAGCTCCTGGGGTCACAGCCCCTCCCCCACAGACTGTCAGCTCCTGGGGTCACAGCCCCTCCCCCACAGACTGTCAGCTCCTGGGGTCACAGCCCCTCCCCCACAGACTGTCAGCTCCTGGGGTCACAGCCCCTCCCCCACAGACTGTCAGCTCCTGGGGTCACAGCCCCTCCCCCACAGACTGTCAGCTCCTGGGGTCACAGCCCCTCCCCCACAGACTGTCAGCTCCTGGGGTCACAGCCCCTCCCCCACAGACTGTCAGCTCCTGGGGTCACAGCCCCTCCCCCACAGACTGTCAGCTCCTGGGGTCACAGCCCCTCCCCCACAGACTGTCAGCTCCTGGGGTCACAGCCCCTCCCCCACAGACTGTCAGCTCCTGGGGTCACAGCCCCTCCCCCACAGACTGTCAGCTCCTGGGGTCACAGCCCCTCCCCCACAGACTGTCAGCTCCTGGGGTCACAGCCCCTCCCCCACAGACTGTCAGCTCCTGGGGTCACAGCCCCTCCCCCACAGACTGTCAGCTCCTGGGGTCACAGCCCCTCCCCCACAGACTGTCAGCTCCTGGGGTCACAGCCCCTCCCCCACAGACTGTCAGCTCCTGGGGTCACAGCCCCTCCCCCACAGACTGTCAGCTCCTGGGGTCACAGCCCCTCCCCCACAGACTGTCAGCTCCTGGGGTCACAGCCCCTCCCCCACAGACTGTCAGCTCCTGGGGTCACAGCCCCTCCCCCACAGACTGTCAGCTCCTGGGGTCACAGCCCCTCCCCCACAGACTGTCAGCTCCTGGGGTCACAGCCCCTCCCCCACAGACTGTCAGCTCCTGGGGTCACAGCCCCTCCCCCACAGACTGTCAGCTCCTGGGGTCACAGCCCCTCCCCCACAGACTGTCAGCTCCTGGGGTCACAGCCCCTCCCCCACAGACTGTCAGCTCCTGGGGTCACAGCCCCTCCCCCACAGACTGTCAGCTCCTGGGGTCACAGCCCCTCCCCCACAGACTGTCAGCTCCTGGGGTCACAGCCCCTCCCCCACAGACTGTCAGCTCCTGGGGTCACAGCCCCTCCCCCACAGACTGTCAGCTCCTGGGGTCACAGCCCCTCCCCCACAGACTGTCAGCTCCTGGGGTCACAGCCCCTCCCCCACAGACTGTCAGCTCCTGGGGTCACAGCCCCTCCCCCACAGACTGTCAGCTCCTGGGGTCACAGCCCCTCCCCCACAGACTGTCAGCTCCTGGGGTCACAGCCCCTCCCCCACAGACTGTCAGCTCCTGGGGTCACAGCCCCTCCCCCACAGACTGTCAGCTCCTGGGGTCACAGCCCCTCCCCCACAGACTGTCAGCTCCTGGGGTCACAGCCCCTCCCCCACAGACTGTCAGCTCCTGGGGTCACAGCCCCTCCCCCACAGACTGTCAGCTCCTGGGGTCACAGCCCCTCCCCCACAGACTGTCAGCTCCTGGGGTCACAGCCCCTCCCCCACAGACTGTCAGCTCCTGGGGTCACAGCCCCTCCCCCACAGACTGTCAGCTCCTGGGGTCACAGCCCCTCCCCCACAGACTGTCAGCTCCTGGGGTCACAGCCCCTCCCCCACAGACTGTCAGCTCCTGGGGTCACAGCCCCTCCCCCACAGACTGTCAGCTCCTGGGGTCACAGCCCCTCCCCCACAGACTGTCAGCTCCTGGGGTCACAGCCCCTCCCCCACAGACTGTCAGCTCCTGGGGTCACAGCCCCTCCCCCACAGACTGTCAGCTCCTGGGGTCACAGCCCCTCCCCCACAGACTGTCAGCTCCTGGGGTCACAGCCCCTCCCCCACAGACTGTCAGCTCCTGGGGTCACAGCCCCTCCCCCACAGACTGTCAGCTCCTGGGGTCACAGCCCCTCCCCCACAGACTGTCAGCTCCTGGGGTCACAGCCCCTCCCCCACAGACTGTCAGCTCCTGGGGTCACAGCCCCTCCCCCACAGACTGTCAGCTCCTGGGGTCACAGCCCCTCCCCCACAGACTGTCAGCTCCTGGGGTCACAGCCCCTCCCCCACAGACTGTCAGCTCCTGGGGTCACAGCCCCTCCCCCACAGACTGTCAGCTCCTGGGGTCACAATCCCTGGAGACCCCTGAACCCCGTCACTGGAGACCCCTGAACCCCATCGTTTGGTTTTGGAATGGGATGTCCAACAAGCTCCTGTAGGTGTGATGGTTTGGTGCCTTTGGCCGTGTGACGGTTGGGTGTCTATGACGGTTGGGTGTCTATGACGGTTAGCCATAGACACCCAACCGCCACACCGCCATAGACACCCAACCGCCACAGACACCCAACCGTCACACCTATAGGAGCTTGTTGGACACCCCATTCCAAAACCAAATGTTGGAGTTCAGGGGTCTCCAGTGACGGTCCCGTTCCTCCTCCATCATACAAAGACATTGAAGACAATTGTGATCTTCCAGCCTTGTGGTCACAGTGTGGTGAAGACCCTTTTCTGTTCCCCCCATGACTGTCCCCTGTGTACAAAGCTCCATACAGACACGTGACCAGACTGGCGGAGGAACCCGAGTGGTCTGCACAGAGCCCTGACCTCATCCCTACAGATCACGTTTGGGGTGAATTGGAATGTTTCCTGTGAGCCCGGGTCTCCTCATCCAAAATCAGGACCTGACCTCCACCTCTGGGATTCATTTCAATGCCGATTATGAGCCAGGGGCTTTCTTTGTTGGCGCCCAACTTGGGGCCCAATGTGTGAATTCTTCTCATTCAGCATCAGTACCGGAGCTCACCAATGGCACCGGCCAACCGAGGAGAAGGTCAATGTTGGGATTGATATAAACACCGGTTACATCTCTGCTGACCATGTGATGTAAAAGGTGAAATTGGCTCCTCCCCTCTATCTGTCCATCAATGTAATGAGTGCAGTCATTGGCCAGGAGGTGGGGCCAAGCGCTCCTTGTGACCGGGCGAGGGCAGATCTGCACATATTGCAGTGGCCATCACTTCCCCCGACACTGCACACACATTTAATGCAGCGGCAGTACAGAGACTCACCTTATAATCCGGTAACTTGGTCATGGCCGTCCACTGCTCTTCTGTCGGAGTTCCCAGCAATGTGAGGAGAGTTCAGGAAAGAGAAACAAAACATTTCAGGAAATGTCCCTCTCCCTTATACTGGGGTTCAGGCTCTATCCAGGGGCCCTCAGGCCGCTACAGCTCCGCCTTGTGTAGAGTGTCAGCTCCTGGACTCACTCCCACTACAGGATATTGGTCCCGCCCCTTCCCGGGTGTCTCACCCGCTCCATGTCACACTCCGGAGGCCCCACGGAGTCTCTGGGAGGCGGAAGTACAGCACGAGTAGAACAGAGAGAGTCACTTCCTGCTCCCGCCCACTTCCGGCATACAACACCCCGCCCCATACTACAGGGGAGGAGCTGTTGGCGGGGGCGGGGCTCAAATCTGTTTAAAAGGAGGCGGAGATAGTGTGGGCGGAACGGATACATTGTTGGGTGTGTTAGGGGAGGAGTTAGTCGGCTGTGCCGCGAACTCTCTCCTGTCCCTACCGTACGCTATGCACAGAATAAATCGAGGCAGATAACGCTCCTTATTCCCCTCTGTCGCGGTAATTTATCGTGTTATTATAAGACATGATGAGCGTTAATTTATCGGCCGTTATAACCATCCACGGGAGGATTACCGCACCTTATAGAACCGTAAAGGCTGGAGATAAAATACCTCCCCCTGTACACCCCTCCCACCTGTACACCCCTCCGCCATGAATACACATCCCACCTGTATACCCCTCCCACCTGTACACCCCTCCTACCTGTACACCCCTCCCACCTGTACACCCCTCCGCCATGAATACACATCCCACCTGTATACCCCTCCCACCTGTACACCCCTCCTACCTGTACACCCCTCCCACCTGTATACCCCTCCTACCTGTACACCCCTCCGCCATGAATACACATCCCACCTGTATACCCCTCCCACCTCTACACCCCTCCTACCTGTACACCCCTCCCACCTGTACACCCCTCCGCCATGAATACACATCCCACCTGTATACCCCTCC